TAGACTCTTGTTTGCTTTGATGTGTGCTGGTTAAAGTAAGAATTCCATTAGTAATAAATCTGCTAAGCTGGCTGCAATTTGTGGCCTTTTCCTCTATTTTTAATTTAATGATTTGCTATTACTTCTACAGTTGTGTTCCAATTTTTCCATGTCATCATTATAATATTTTAGTTAAGAACAATCACTCACAGATCAAATAAGCAAAGTCCAAACAAATTTGGAACATCTCAAGGCCACATGACTAGCGTGACTTCACAGGAATTATTGTGTATGTAAAAGTTCTGCCTTGAGCTAAATGGCAGAGGAAAGCTATGCTTAGGACATTTGTAGAAATGAAATGCTTCTAAGTTTTGTCATTCCTATCCTTCTAAACACCCATTATTTACTTGAAGCTTATATTTCTCAGGTCCAGAATGTCAGCCTTTTATTTCTGCTTGAACTAATGCCTCACTTCAGAAGAACAACTGGAAGAGCTTCTGTGGGAAGCAGCCCACTGGAGTGAAACCTGGGCTCATGCCATTTAGCTTCAGACATTTCATTTAGGTGCCAGAACTTAAATATTTCTTTTCTTGACTCTTGCTAGCCAGGTTCCCAGCCTGAATCACTCTATTACAGTTTCTTTGTATTTTCACTGACATGAAAGAAAATTCAAGCAAATAGACAAGTATTTAGCTATCAAATGTAGGCTCTGAAGTCAGGCATTGCACACACTCCCCAGTTGTGACTGTGTTACACAACATCAGAGATGATGTTACATAAATGGTATTTTCTTTGCATTTCATTTCATGAGCCTAAGAAATTGAAGACTAAGAAATGGTCTTATTAATAAAAAGGCTGAATTATAATTTATTTTGTCTGACACAAACAAAGATGATCTGCACACAAAAAATGACTACATTTCACAAAGAAAAAGTGCATTTATTAGTAAAACAAGTTCATTTTGTTTTATCTGTTTTCTAAGGGGCATTATTTTTAAAAAGATATTTTAAAATGAGAGATGAAAATGAAAGATTATATATATATATATATATATATATATGTCATTTTCATGTAATTATATATGGCACATTAAGAAGCAAGACAATCTATAGTCACTTTGAAAGTGATAAAATCAGCCATGCTCATTGTTTGCTGTTGAGCATCAAGAATCTCACCCCTTTCCAACTGCAGTGTTTTGCAGCAGCTTCCTTTAATCACAGAGCCTTGAAGCAGCTCCCTTCTGCCAATCCTTGCAGCCGCATTGCTGCTTTCAGCTCCCCATCTAACAGACAAGTACATCTCAGTGTGCAAAAACTGCACCAAGGGAACACAGAAAGAAGAAATAAAATCATTCCTTCAAAAGGCCTGGCAGAACATAAAGCATACAGCTAGAGATGTAGATATAGATTCAAACTCCTTCTAATTATATTTTTTCTGCTGTTGATTCTCGTAAAATATATATGCAAATATATTCTTAGCGAGTATTGAGCATTAGAGAGAGGGGGGAAAATAAAAAACCCCAAAATGGTATTCTGCAATTAAACTGATGTGTGCAAAACAGGAGATCATGCTAAATTAAAAAAAAAAAAAATCTCATTACCAGTAAGCCACCTGCTGAGATAGTGAGTCCTCTCAGAGACTACTGTGTCTTTTAATATTGAATTGTCTACTCTGGAGTGCAGAGGAGGGAGAGGAAAAAGGGGAGGAGGATCCTCGATTTCATTAGATTTTGAATTTCCTTCTGGAGGTGCCTATCTATCTCCCTTGACAAGATCAGAGTCTTAGGGCCTCACTTGGCTCCTGTCAAAGGTACAAGCAGCATGTTCAGGAGATTGAAAGCCAAAAGAAGACTCATGTAAAGCATGGAAGACTGTAACAGAGCAGGTACCCACGTTGTTATGCTATTCATTCATAAATTAAGAATTCTTATATTTACACTGTACATAATGAGGGTAAAATAAAAAATATACACTTTAAATAGAAAACTTTGGGTCAGACCCTGACTTCTTTTAAATTGCTGTAGCCCCATTATGAGCATCATGTTATTCAGGCTAAAAAAATCATCTGAAGTTGCAACAATTAGTTGACAACAATAAGTTGCATTTGCAACATCCAAAGAACTGTATAGCAAGAAAATGGAAAATTCTACCATTATCTATCTTGACAAACAAGTGTAGCGAATGTAATTCTCCACAGTCTAAAATACAACAGTATTTGCACAGATAAAAAAAATGAATGCTAAGTGGCTGAAAATGCCAACAATCTGAACTGGTAAACTTTTACAACCAACTTACAAAAGCCTTCAGGAATTGCATGCAGTGTAGGACAGCACCATGTAAGACGTGTCATAACAGCACACTCTGGTAATGTCATTATTACCCTTCTAGTGATAACACCATGAATAGAATAGAGGCAACTTATTAAATTGTTGATCCACACCAAAATGAAGCTTTTTTATGGGAGTTTTGGACTAAGCACTAGTAATGCAAATGGAGAGGTTTTCTAAGTATATACACTTTTCAAATGGGATTTTGAATTGCGTTGTTTTTGTGATGTAGTACATGTAAAAATAAGCCATTTTTCTAGAGTAATACTGTAGAGTACCTCTTTTTTAGGACAATCCTGTTTTCAAATGCATTTGAAAATGCAGTCTAAGTAACCTGATTTTATATGGCATTACATAAATGTAGACAGGAAAATTCATAAATGAATACACACTACATAGTTTATGCTGCTAATCTACACCTTTTTTGTAGCTGATGGGAATTCTGCCATTGAATTAGATTTTAAAAAATACTATGATGTTTTAAAAGTCCAATTTAAATGTCTTTTATCCACATTTTTTGTAATTCAACCTATTATTTCTGCTTTTTGAGGGTAAGCAAATGTTCAAGTTTTTGCAAAGGATGACCTGGAATGATGAGGAAATGGGCATCTTCTCTATGTCCCAGTCACACAGTAGACAATCAAGTCTAAGGCAGCTTTCTTGCCAGCTGCCTGAAATATTGCTACCTTGGCAGTTGTGGAGGAACACACAAAACTCAGCTGAGACACCAAGTACATCCCTGAGTCTAGAGTCACCCCAGAGCTCTGCACTTCCATTGCTAAGCTGCTGCCACTAGAAAAGTTACAAAGATGAGATGAAGTCATGCAATAACTGCAATATGGACAAAATCAAAATAGGTCACACAGAGCGAATGTTGCACTGTGGTGGTAAAAAACAAACTTATAAAGAACAGAGCAAGAGACAGAAAATATGAGGGAGCAATGTGGTTAAAACTTAGAAGCAGATGTTATGGCATTCTAACTTTCATTATGCTAGAGATGATTATTAATGGTCTGCCAGGCCAAGGAAGCAACGAGGCAGCACAATATGAAAATGACAGAAAATAATTTGAATTAATCTTAACAAATAAAACATGAATTTCAGAGACACCCAGTGAAGTGTATCAAATCCTGTTTCTTTCTGCTAAGCCTGGGATAGAAGTAAATTTTTAGCATTTTCAGGTGGTTTTTACACATCTAGAAAATCAAAACATGAACTGAAGAGAGGGGTGCACTGGGAAATTTTAAAAAAAAAAGCACAAAATCATAAAATTGCTGACTTACACAAAAAAAATTAATTCTGGGAGAAAAATTGGTGACTTTCGCCAATTACAAAAAGATAACCTATGAACTCAATTGTCTACATTAGCATACTGAAAATACTGTCATTTCCTGTACATTTGTACACATCAGCTTGGGTTATAATTTAATTCTTAGGGCATTTCAACAGTAAATGAAACATTATTTCCATCTATCACTTACTACACAATCTTCATGCTTTTGTCTTTCTGAAATAACAAGCAGATAGTTAAAAACAGGCAAGGTGTAATTCACTGTTTTTAATATATGTCATTATTTTGCCTCCCTTTCACCTCCTTGCTGTATCCATCTGCTTTCTGCAGTGTTGTGCTTAGGACATGCTAAATATGCTTAATTTATGTAAACAGCCAGTGACAGAGCTTGTCATGCATGAAAGTAAACACTGATGTATGTCTCTGCCTTAGAAAGGACCTACAGTTAGTTACACACTGTGCAGTGTCTTGTGAAGGAGCCCTGATGGTTCACTCCTACCACCAAAGCAACTCCTGCAGTGACAGCGACAAAAGTGAGGGCAGGGCAGCCTCAGTTGGGCTTTATATTGAAGGGCAAGATCGGCTGAATTTCACATTTCAGGGGTTGAACGATGTTTTAAAGCTAAGTTATATCACATCAACTTCCATAATAGTATAAGAAGCTTGTGGACAAGAGGTGTGAGTGTGCCTTGCCATGCAAGGCGACGCCTACACACACGTGTGACAGCGACAGGCGGCTCGGGGCGCGGGACAGCGCTGCCCTCGCCTTGCACACGATGGGAACCAGACGGGGGTCGGCCCCTTCTCCCAGGCAACTGCGGGTATGAGGACACAGCGTTGAGCTGTGCTAGGGGATGTTTAGGTTGGACATTAGGAAGAAAATCTTCACAGAAAGGGTGATTAGATAACAGAATGGACTGCCGAGGGAGGCGGTGGAGTCACCATCCCTGGAGGTGTTAAAAGACTGGACGTGCCACTCGGTGCCACGGTCTGGTTGACAAGGTGATGTTTGGTCACAAGCTGGACTCGATGATCTCAGAGGTCTTTCCTGACCTAACCGGTTCTGTGATTCTGCCATCACCCCGCGCCGCCCGCGCTGTCCCTGCACGCCGCGCGGTTCCACGCGTGGAGCGAAGGAGCCGCCGAGCGAGGCGCAGCCCGCCGGGCAAGGCACGGACGACACCGGGCACAGGCAGCCTGCGCTCGGCCGTGAGCGACTCCGAGGCCACGGGGCCGAGCGGGCCGCGGTGCCGGCGCCGACCCCGCCGGGCCGTGCCCCTCAGCCCGCGCCCCCCGCGGCTCCGGCCCCGCTCCCGCCGCCCGGGGCTTCCCCCGCTCCCGCCCGCGCCGCCCGGCGCCGCGCGCATGCTCGGAGCGCGGGGCGGCGCGCGGGGCGGCGGTCCTGCAGTGCGGGGCGGCGGCGGGCGGCGCGCGGGGCGGAGCGGGGGCGCGCACAGGAGCTGCGGCGCGAGCGGCGGCGGGCGCGCACCGAGGCGGCGCCGCGTGTCCCTCCGGCCCCAGCAGCGCGCGGGACCCCGGGCCCTGCGCCCTCCTCCGCACCGCGGACAGACCCCCGCCCGCAGTAAGTGCGGGGAGGGCCCGCAGGGGGAAAGGGGGGGGATCCGGGCTCCGCTGCCGCGAGGTGCGGGTGAGAACCGGCTGCCGGGCTGCCCCGCGCGGGGCTTTTCCTCCCGGGAAGGCGGCGGGATGGAGGCGCGCCGGGGCTGAGGCGGGGGCTGCGCGGCTTCGGCGCTGCTCGGCGGTCGGAGATCGTCCTCACCGGGAAAGTTGGTGTGCGCGGTCGGTGTGCGGGAGTTGTTCCGCTGGCGAGATGGAGGGAAATCGTACCCGCGGCGATTTGCCGTTAACTGTGGAGAGATGGGACCGAATCCCCCACCGATCCGGATATGAGCACCGACAGCATCCAAAGGAACAGCTGAGCTGTCGCGTAACAATTTGCGCTTGGAAACGCTTTGGTGGAAGAGGGAGTCTGGCGCTCGTGTTCGTTTGAAAAGGGATAGCGAAAAGGGCGTGATTTTTTTCCAGTAGGGAAAGGAAAAGAAAATAAAAAGGAAAAAAAGACCGTGTGAAACCAAGCGCCAGAGCAGCCTTCACAAGGTCATCACACCACGAGGGAGGCAAAAGTGCTCCCGATCCATGCGATCGCTGTATCGCTTTTCACAGTGCCTGTAAGGGATGTTTTTATTTTATCGTTTAATTTATTTAACAGGCGAGGTGTTTGCAGGTGGTAGCGGGGTAGGTGCGGGGCGGAGGTGCCGCGCTCCTGCTATTTACTAGGGCATCAATCGGAGTGAAGATGGAGGTGGGAGGAGATAACAAAAGCTGGTGTGCGATCCTGGGCATCTCCCACACGAAGGCGTGAGAAGGAGGAGGGAAAGGAGACGGCAGGAGAGAGAATTTCATTTCCAAAGATCAAAACAAAAGGTGGAGCAGGTTGAGGCAGATCGTGAGCAGCCGGGGCGGAAAGCGAGGGAGGCGATTTCCGCGCTGACCCGAGCGGAGCGGAGCGCGGGGGCCGGGATGTGCGCGGCTGCGGAGGGAGGGAGGGAGCGCGGGCGGGGGCTGCCCGACCGGCGCAACTTTGAGCGCCAGCATCGCTTGGAAATAAGCTGCTCGCACCCGGAGAGACGCGCTGCCTGTGTGGGGCGAGGGGAGGAACGCCTGCCGGTACCCCGAGGGCTTCTTCGCCCTCTTCCTCCATCCCCCGGCGGGAAGGAGCGGGTCCTGGCCGCGGGGTGCGGGGGAGAGCGGTGCTCAGCGCTGCGGCGGGAACGCTTCCCCGGCGCCCGTGGTGCCGCGCCGGGACAGGGGCTCAGCGCCGTGCGGGGCGCTGCCAGAGGGGACCCCAGCACTGCCGCCCTCCCGCACGGTTCGGTCCCGCCGCTCGCTGCCCGCTGCAGCGCTGCCCGTGCCGCCGGCTCCCCCGATGCGAGGCTTTTCCCGCCCGCCCGGAGGTGTCCCCACCCCCCGGAGTCCCCCGCTCTCCCCACTGTCCCCACGGGGAAACGCCTCCCTCCTCCCGCCCCATCCAGGCGGGCCCCTTCCTGCATGGAGCCGCCTGCAAGGTTCCCCTCGTCCCAACTTGGCATCCCGTCCCCAAAGCCAAGAGCCTTTCCCCTTTCCTCTGCTGGGGGTTCCCCCGGCACCTCCCCGGCTTGCCCCATTCCGCCTGCCTGCTCCGGCCTCCGGCTGCGGAGGAACCGTCGGGGATTGGGAGGGACAGGCGAAGGGGGGGGGGGTTGATGTTACGCAACTGCAGACCCTCCGCTTCCCCGGCCCTGGAGGAGCCTGTCCAGGGGCTTTTCGGAGGTGGGACGGGGCTCTGCGGCTTCCTCGGGCGAAGGGCGGCTGGAGGCGGAGCGGGCGGAGCTCCGCTGCCGCGCAGGTACCGCGCTCCCGAATCCCGCACGACCCGGAGCGGTGCAGCAAGGCGGGGAAGGGGCTTACCTGCACCGCCGGGCTTCTCTGCTGACAAGCAAACGTGCAGATAACAGCGTGATGAAAACACCTGCCCTTTACATTGAAATTGAAATTGAAGCGTGATTGCTTGGGCATTGAACCCATAGTCAATTATCAAAAGGCCAAATACATGAATAAATTCCGTGTTCTTGTACAGAAGATGTTATTGTAACAGATGGGTTTAAGCAATACAGATACTTCTCCCAACATTTTTAGCAATGTTTTGTTATTAGTGTGGCTTTGGATAGACATTCTCTTCCTTCACATACTGGAAAGTTCAGATCTCAGAGGTATCACTATCTCTGTATGAAGAATAAAAAGATGGACATATTTTATAACCAGAATATGATATGCAACAGATTATTAATACAGAAAAATAAGTGTATGTGGAAGCTCAGTCTCTGTAGAATACACAATCACTGTCCCTTTCAGAATGTGTGCATCCTTGTAGTTGTTTCTGTCACACATTTTCAGAGTCATTAGTTTTCACTGCTACCCTATTACTTGACAGAATGCCTTTCCTTTTTAAAGACCATAGTTCATTTAAGAGCATCAGTTTGCTTGAAAGATCTCCTAGTACAGTGTTCATACAGCACAATCCATTTCAGGTTTGTGGACTGCGATCAATTCTAATTAAAACTTTAATTATGTTTTTCTCCATTCCAACAAAGCATGAAGTAGTCTGGCTGATGTTGCTGTCAAGGAAAAGTAAGGAAACATGTTCTTCATCTTGGTTATGTGTTATTCCTGCCTTTTAATTAAGGACTGAATCCTTAATCTTGTTATTTATCCACAAACTTTTGTGACATAGGGCTGTAATATTTAACCAGTTTTCTAGGCTGCCCTGTCTTCTTGACTGATACAAAGGTATACCTGCACAACACTGGTTTTTCAACGTGCTCCTTGTTCTGGAACATGCAGCTATTGCCCGCAGATCAGTTGTGTCATCAAGCGGCATCTACTCCGGAGTATCACAGCGTTATGTAACTCACAACACAGAGCAAATGCCAGAGATGTCTCTGCCGCTCCCTTGTGCGGTTCCCTGTGTGCCTTCCCCTGCTGTAGCGTACAGAGCACTCGGAGCTGATGCCACCCCACAGCACCAGCCCAAGGGAAACTGTGCTCTGGCCGGAATGCTGAGGCCAAGTCTGACTGGGATGTGGTGGGGAGGGCAGGCTAGGGCCGAGCAGAGCCGGGGAATGAGGTGGCTGTGCGGGATGGAAGCGGTGCAATGCCGCTGGCTCTGGTGCTGTTTGGAAAAGGTGCCACGTGTCCCAGGCTGCGACATCCTGCTGACTGCAGCGTGTCTGGGGTCTGGGGGGATCCCGATGTTCCTTCCAGCAGGGTCCTCCTAGAGAGCTGCAGCACCATTGTGCTGCTACAGGCCTCTTGGCTTTTCTTTCTGTCTATACACTCAGTATAGCTGCAGGATCTAAATCTAAGGATACAGGTTCCCTTAACAAACACATGAACATGGTGAGCTTTGTTGTGGGTGATTCCGTAATTGTTTACATTTCAAGCTGTTGTCCTGGTTCTGTTTTTCAGTTTTGGAATTGTAATGTTATGTCTGTCTGCGCAATGGATTCCAAAGCTTTTTTTGTATTGTATCTGTGCCTCACGCGCCCATTTTAGGTATTCAGTTCTGTCGACCTTTGCAGATTCCCACAGATTTCCAGAATTTTATGTCACTTGGCCAAAAAGTGCTGGCTCATCCTCTAATTGTGAATCAAACAGCAATTAACACTAATTAAAGATAGAGTTAGAAAATATAAAGTACGGTAGACAGATCTGGTTTTAAAGTCCTAGGAATTGAAACACGCAGCACTTACCCTGAGCAGCTGTGCCCCTTGTCTGTGATGTTACACATGGTCAGCACCGGTCTTCATCCTTTTGTTTTTAATAGGTATTGTTTTAGCAGTGTGCATTGGGGCTAAATACCCTTTGATTTTGAGTGGTCTGTAAAGAAGCTTGTTTCCAGCTGGGTTTGATTGCCCATGGATGCTTTGCTTTCTTTAATTTTGTCTTACATTAACAGAGAAAAGCACTGTGTGATCTTCCTGCATTATTTCTCATGCCTAATTTTGATTCAGACTGCTCTATAATGAGCCTAGACCATTTAATCTGTCCCCATTTTCTTTTGGGTTAGTATTACCTGCATTTGCACACCTTTTGCCATTCTCTACATGCTTGGGCTTTTTCTTCCTTCAGAGTGTAATTTTGTTCCTTCTTTTTGTGCATGTTCATTGCTTTTTTCAATTGCTTTCCACCTGATGAGTTATTTTCTTTTCTGTATATTTCCTTCTGGGGAAAGACCATGGTTTACCCCATAGCTTGTCTCCATGGCATTGCTGAAAGCTCTGTGTGATACAGGAATACAGGAAGGCTGTGAGCATTTGCTGTGCTGAAGATGTCAGGATCCAGATGGGCTCCCATCACAGGGCGGCGCTTTCTTACCTCAGCTCCAGCTACTTGTCTTTATTCATAGAGAGAGAATCTTACATTTTTACTTTTATGCTATTGGTCTGACAGTAATAGCTATAAAACTTTTCAAAGAAAATTAAACAGATGATAAAAAGGATATTTGTTCATGTAATGCAAAATTTCGGAGTAGTGCTGCAAATTTTTATTGCTTTTAAGTTCTAAAGCGCTAAAATATATATGTATTTTTTATTTTTTTAACTATGTCAATGTTACCCACAGGGTCTCTGCTTTCAAGAGCTTTTCCACACTGGGATGTGAATGTGACTGAAAGGACAATAATACACTTGTAAGAAATTAAGGCAGATCAGTAGAAATGGTCTCAAAGATGAAAGTTGAAGAAAGCAAGTAGTTTCAAGGTGACAGTTGAAGGAGAAAAAGATAAAAGCCACTTGATAGAAAAATTCACTGTTGATAAAATATGATGCTGTTTTTCTTTGTGATTATTCCCCTGAGGAAAGTAAGGAACAGAATATGTTTAGTAAATAACTTGTAAAACCACAGCTAATTGAAATAAATTGTGCTCCTTGGGAGTGAAAGGACGACTGCATCTTTTTTTTAACTAAGCATTATGTGTTCTGAAATTATGATATCAAGGACAAAGGAATACACATTACAGATATT